TCCAAATCGTCCTGCAGTTCAGATGATTTGTTTTACTAGATCAACAAAGACTAGGATAATATCTGTAGTATCGAAATATCGATTTGGAAATCCTAGAACATTTGGCATACACGGAAGTAGGTTGGCATGATCCACATAGACACTGCAAATTTGTTTGGGCATATTTCGATACTACAGATATTGAATTAGTCTTGGGTGATCTAGTAGAAAAATAATCTGATTTCAGAACCTATAACATCTTGTATATGTAGCAAAAGATCGGCTACAATCCACATAAACATTTTGAATCTGTTTGGACATATTTCGATGCTACAGACATTATTGGAGTCTTGGTTGATATAGTAGAACAAATCAACTGAACTCCAGGACGATTTGGAAAACCTAGAATATCCGGTATTCAGGGCAATCACTCGCATTTATACGATTCGTTTATGATTTGACAACGAAAATTGCTATGTTCATATTGGAAAAAAGGAAAATGTCTCACATGGACAGACCTCAGGGAATTATAATCCGGGACGGAAAGGTTACAATGAATTCCACAATTTTTGTGACAGCACAACAGTCCCTTCGCGATTTTCGCGACATCATTTAATGTTTCCGCGATTTTCACGACTGAAAGTTTAAATCCGCGACAAATCCGCGAAATTCGCGAAATCCGCGCCTGTTGTAACAGCCCTGCTAATGTTAACCGAACTGCTCTGAGGTTCTCTGTTCTTTTCTGAAATTCTCAAAACTTCTCTAAAGTTTTTGCAGTTCTAATGAAACTTGTTGCCCTGAATTTAATTGAACCGTCCTAAAAATGTTTAAGCTTCAGTGAACTTTTGAACCTATGCGAAGACTTCAATTAACTTCTTAACGTCTCTGAAGTTATCTGAAAATCTGGGAACTTCGCTGAATATCATGAAACTATCTAAATTTATTAGAAGTTCACTGGAATTCCTTGAAGATATCGCTGCTTGCTAAAAGTTCTCGCATTTTTTTAATTAATGTAACTTTGTTGATATTCTCTAATCAACTTAACTAAATTTTTGCACTTCTTAAAGTTTTTGAAATCTCCATGATATAACACTTACTTTTAAAATACTCTCACGTTTTCCGGATGTTCATATAATTTTTATCACGTCGCAGAAATTCTCTCGGAGCTTTGCTGAAGTATCCGGAGGTTTCTACAATTTCCATGAAATTATTTGAACCGCCCTTTGATTCTCTGATCTGTCTTGATGTTCTCGAAACTTTCTTGAAGCTCTCAATTCTAAATTTCTCTGAAATTCTCTGGACTTCTGTGAAGTTCCTGAAATATTTCTGAAATTTTCATAAATTCTCTGATGGTCTCTGTACTTCCCTGAAATTCTCGGAGCATCATAAGGGTTCCAAAAAGTTGTATCTGTCCAAGTCTTTCGTTCAGAGAGCCAAGGACCGGGAGGGACTGCATACGTACAAAGTGCAGAAGGCTCAAAATCGTGACCAACGGCAAAATACGGTGGGAACGTCACGGGCCCGGAAACTGTACACCCAGATGCTGACGAAGCTTCATTGTCTTGTCATGGATGATCAGACTTACGTCAAGGCTGTCTTTACGGCCCAGCACAAGTTTGATGTTCCGGTGGAAGTAAGGAAGCAGAAACTTTCAAAGTTTGCCAAGAAATACATGATTTGGCAAGCGATCTGCTAATGTGGCAAACGGAGTGCGCCGTTCGTGACTACCGGGACTGTTAAGCGTAAGGTGCGAGCGTACGGTTATGGTATTGAAGTTGAATGAAATACATATGCGAAAAGCTTTCTAGTCAGGGCTGGTAGCGTGTGCGTGATGTAATAGGTGACTTTAGAAACTCAAATTACGAAAATAGTGACCAAATAGTGACCTTTAAACAATTAAAAAGTGACTACGGTCCAATTGGGTTCTTTAGGGGTTTTAAGGTAATTGGATATTCGTAATATGCATCACAAATGGAACCGAAATCCCAAATTTCATCAATTTTGGAGCACTGGAACTGTTCTAAATAAGTGTGATTACATAAGCAAAAATCACCATCTTAGCGCCCCTCGGCGGTACTTTATATGAGAGTGAGCTGTCAATTTGATAGTTTTGTGTCAAACAGTGAAGTGATTAGTTTGCTTTAAATCTTGATTTAAAAATCAAGATAGAAGTAAATGGGATCGAAAAAAATATCGTTGTGCTCAGAAAACGAAGCCCTTTCAGAAGATGTATAGAAACCGATATATTATTCAAAATTAAAGAACCCAATTCTAACCTCTATTTCCTCACTCTGCAGATCACGAATTTGTCATTAGATCGCAAAATTGAGGCACAGAGAAAAAATTTCAAAGTGCCAATATTAGACAAAGTACCGATTTTTACAATTTTAGGACGGCAATTTTTGAAGATCTAGGATATATATGAAGCGATGCATTTCTGGAGAACTGCAGTCTAGAATTAAATGTATATAGATCTAAGTTAGCCATGAGCAGTCTTGTAAGCGGTCACGGTAGTCGACACATTTTCTGTGATAATCGACTGCCTTTGCCTCCGACACTTGCAAAACAAGCTATCATAGTACAGTACCAAACTCAAATGACATTTGACAGGCTCTGTCATACGACACTGTCGCCGGAGACCATCACGAATGTATGTATTTTAGTTTTTCTCATAATAAGAGCTGCTGATGTTGTGCTTGTGTGAATTCTGAAAATAGCAAGCAATGATGTCCTAGGAATAACATTTCTGATCAGAAATGGTTTGATTTACACCAAACTGAGGAATTAGAACGAACTCACTCATGTCATATGATAGTTATTTGATAATTTTCTTTTTGCTCGAATGTTATTCTACCGGTTGTGTTGTATAAGAGAGACGACGGTAGAGCATGAGAGTACGAATAAAAAGAGACTTTCGCGCATGACAACGAAGCGAGTGGCGTAAAAAACGTCAACAGTTTCAACCTCTGGCCATGAGCATATTAATAAAAGATCCTTCTCTTCTTTGTAGTCGATATAACGAACTGGTCGTCTTTTTACTTTGCTCCATTCCTCCCAAGAATAGAACATTCTGTAACACCTCGAACTTAGACAACTTTTCTAGATCGCAGTTTAAGAAAAAATCTCATTATTATTGCTCAGATGCAATGATCACGGACATAATACAAAATGGAATGCGTCTAGGACTTAAAATCTCGATCGTGAAAATTAGAGATTAAGTAATACATTTGGATTTTTTGTTTTTGTATTACCGGAATATTAGTATGGAAAAAATACAAAACAATTTAATGGACTTATAAAGGAACTCAAGAACCTGTGACATGATTTATTGTCTCGATGTTTGGACAAATAATAAAACTACCGGGGGTTAAAGATTATTCAAATTTCTGGCTTTTGAACCAATGTCGAGAGCTTGAAAATTTTCCTAGACCATTTTTTTACATTGAACCAACGGGAAAGGTAATTTTTACCTGAACATTCAGCCTTCAGGTAACCTCTAATTCAGGTAAACTCAAAATAGGAATTCAATAAGGTTCACGTGCCGCACATAAATGCAATGACATGGTAATGAATTCTACTGGATTCACTGGACCAGTCCACATTTTATGCTGGTGAAGGTTAAGTGAAATTCATGTAAGTATACAATGACTTCTCTCGATGATTTCTAAGAATTCAAGGCACGCCCACGCAAACCAACATTACCGTCGGGTAGGGGAAGTCTTACCCTACCTGATGGTGATGTTGATTAGTGTGGGTGAGTCTTGACTTTCAAGACATCATCGGAAGAAGTCATTGTTTACAAAAGCTGATACGCCCTTACTCCAGCTCTATCTTTAATTTCTTGTCGTATTCGTAATTCAAAAATGGCGATAGAAGAAAGTGCGCTTTCGTCGTTGTTGGACGATTTGGAATTTTCAAGCGTAAGTTTTATAACTTTTATAAATTAACACTCATTTATAAATTAAAAAAAGAAATTGCAGAATACGGGAATGGATTGTTCGAGGTGCTAAGAATCAACAATTAACCACTTCATTCGAGCAGTTAAAATGGCGTTTACTACCAATGGAACTTTGAAATAAAACATTATTTTGAGATTATTTCTTCTAGAATCACGAGAAAAGTAGCCAACATTTGTGCGTTTGATAGAAAAATAGAAATTAGTTGGTCCAGTTTTGGGAAATCGCTGGTAGAAAGTCACGCTAAAATTGCTTGATAAAGTGGTCAATTGACGAAATATAACGGTCCTACTATACGGTTAATGTACTTCAACTTCAAGATCATGTAAATTAGTGTTTTTTTCCTAGAATGCAATCATTCAATGACTCAAATAAATCGAAATATATATCTATAGTCTATCACCAATTCACTTTATCATCACTACAAAATCCAGTAACATTTACTCTGGAGTAACATTTACTAATTCCCGTAGCTTTTAAGTGATGCCAATTTGAAGATCATCGGAAAGTCTGATAAAATTTACGTGAAAATCAATTGATTTCTATGTGAATCACTCAAATGTAATCGTGAGCTTTAAATAGTTAACACGAAAATAGCAATGGAGTCAAATGCAATCTGCACAAATCTAAACGTACATTCAGCCGTGTTACCTGGAATGATTCGGCAAACCATGCACAAAACGCTCTCTATAAATTGCGGAAGATATCTCACACACTTCTTCCTCCATCTAAAGCTAATCACACGTCCCATCTTCGCTCGCCACAAGACCGGCAAGATCTAATTCTCCAATTTCAAACACGACCCACGAGGCACGTTCTCTCCGTGTCCCCGTTATGGGGGCAAGAAAGAACAAAATTAAACAACATTATCCGCTCCCACGTTCCTGCCACTTACTAGACGTGTTCATTTCCATTCACACTCTGTGTGCCACAACCTTCTCGAGCATCATCGCGCACACCCACTCTTGAAAGCCGTGAAAAATCACGTTCCGTTCCAACTTCCATCAGATCCGAAATGTATTCGTCACGTCCCTCTCTTTCTCTGCAAACCTGTGCTCGACCTACCTGCGAATGTATGTGACACATGATGTTCTTCCCGGGGAGGCCACTGCTGCCGGGCGTTTCACTGCTGGCCGCTTCCTTCGATTTGATCGTGTGCTCCTTGGTGATTTTCAGCCGCTGATGCGCCTGCACACAGCTATCACAGATAAATTCCGCACACTCGACGCACCAGGACGTGGCAATGGCGTCGTCCGAGCAGCTACTACACTTGATCATGTCCTTGGTGGATTCCACACTGCTCGGATTTTCGTCCGCCGTGTTTTCACTCAGGAACACGTTGTCGATGATGAACTCCATCCGGGATTCCATCTTGCACACAGGACAAAACAGGACCGGCGTGTTGTGCGGGAGGTCGGAGAATTTCTGCTTCAGGCATGGATCGCATGCCACGTGCAAACATTCCAGTAGCTTCGGACGATCGGTTGTGGCCAGGATCTGCTGACACCAGACGCACTTGGTCTGGATCGGTGTGTCATTGGTGGCGGTCTCCGGAGCGTCACCCTGCGGATGGAAAAGGGAAGAAGAGTGAAAGCTCATTAGAATATGGATATTTGCAATTTGATTGAGTGGAATTGTTAATATACCGCGAGGAATATGATTTGCGGAGGGGTCACAACCGGTTCTTGGTTGGAAATTATAAACATATTCAACGGGGTTAAAATTTGAAATTCCATTAAAATTGAATTTCAAATTAATACGTCTGCTGGCGAAGCGTGTCACGTCACGGTATGGATTGCGAATAGTAAAAATATTTTCACCAAGGGAATGTATGCACATGTTTCAGCGGCGGTGATGACGTGGACCAAAGAAAACATGGATATGCAAAATAAGGTACACGTAAGTGGAATATTTAATCAGCTTCAACCGATTGTCGTAGCCGAGTTGTCACGAATATAGACGAGTCATTGTTGTAGGCACATCCTCGAAGACAGGTCACCGTGATACGGGTCATACCGAGCAAACAATCCTAAAATCTCATTCAAACAAATCACACTCTGCTCGATTTCCAATCAATACTTTCGCGCTTCCTATGCGTTTAAATGTCAAGAACACTTTTTCCTTACTTTCCAATTCAATCACGTTCCCACATCCATCAACGATCTCCAAAGTACCGGTCGGTTTGCCGGGCGACCGTCCCCAATATTGATTGCACTTGTGCGCTACAGTTTCGAAACAACCCAAGCCAACACGCAAAATGACCGAGTGGGCCCCGTCCAAATTAAAAAAAAAAAAAAAAAAAAAAAAAAAAACACGCGGAATAAAAGCACGGCTGTTGACAAATGAGTTCGAACATTTTCTCTTGGTTATAGTTCTTATTTCGGAACGGTCAGCCTTCGTCAGTGATTTTTCCAATTCCAAACTGCACCAAGTTGAGTATTTTCTACATTTGGAAATATGCGTGGTGGTCTTGATGTTCGAATCGAGAAAAAAAAAAGGCGCAACATTTTCCCCCACGCCAAATTCGTACCGAACCGATATTGTCTGCTGATCCGATCTTGCCTTCCCGCCGCTCGTCCGGATTTGGGCGAGAGCAAGCTACTATGAAAGGAAAACATCCGAGCCACTTCACATACTCCGTCCGTACTAGGGGAGGAAGCTTTTGACAAACACACAGGTTGACAGTCGGCGATTTGTTGCCAAGTTTAGTCTCCCCACGGTGACACGGCGCGGTTCGATTTAATACGTGCAAGGTGGGATGTGACTCTGTGGTTGATTTACATTTGGAGTGATCTGATGTGGGTTGGTCGAGTGTTTCTGAGATATTTTTTCAGTATTATATACCTCGTAAGAATAATAATCTAACTGAATTCGTTGCGTGATCATTTACCGCACACTTAGTTTTTTTTCTTCTACCGAGCTCGGCTGTGCAAATCTCGGCAAAAATAAGTTTCACTGAGATCTCAGCAAAAGTGACATTTGATTGCTGAGTCTTGGATAATGCTTAGCTGAATCTCAGCAACAAATGAAATGTCTCAGTAATACTTTTGCCGAGATTTGCACAGCCGAGCTCGGTAGAAAAAAAAACTAAGTGTGCGTGTTGGATTGCTAATGGATAAAAGTCACAAACGCAGGGCTAGTAGTGCTTATGCGAAATAATAGTAGTGACTTTAGTGACTAAAATTACGGGAAAAGTTACCAAATAGTGACTTTTAAATAATAAATAATTAACCAATATGTATATAGTGACTCAATATGTATATAGTGACTTAGAAATTCAAATACGGTTTGATATTAAAATAAACTTTTTTATGTCATGGAACTTAAAATCACAATGACATCACAAATTCCTCTAATTATTTCGAATCTCACAGCGGAATCTCCTATGAAGAGCATTTGAAGGGATTTGAATGATTTCCTTTTGATTACGCTCCAGCAAATAGAATTTCCAGATTTTCTCGGATTTTTTTAAACTAATGAATAAACCAATGAAGCTACTAGCTTAAATATAGATGAATAGATCATTACACCGACAGCACTTTTTTTTTCAAAAATCTTGAATTTGATTTTCCTTTAGAAATCTTTACAATTTTGATATATCTAGATAGAAACTTTGATAATTTTCTAAGATCTTCATACAGAACTTATTCAGAATGATCTCAAGAATTGTTTAAGAATCATTCCCCTTCTCTTAAACTTTTTTTTATTGGGTATCAAGCTGGAGCTGCGTGACCAGAGATGCCAGATCAACGGAAATCTCCGTAGATCTACGGATTTTACAACGTCTTCCTGCAGGATCGAATTTTACAATCTAGAGTATAATCTGATTCTGAAGGGAAAGAAGCATAAAGTAAAATACACCTGCAACATTTTACTGATTCTGAAGGGAAAGAAGCATAAAATAAACCTCGTGCAACAGTTTGTGACTTGCAACAAAACAGCCACCAAATTCCGAGATAATGCTCCCGGGAAGGATTGGATCAACTCGTTTCTCAGTCGACACAATCTAGTTGCCCGGTTGTCACAGAATATTAAACGAAGTCGGGCCAAAGTAAGCCACAAAGTGATCAACGATTTTTTCATCAACCTTGCGGAAACAGTAGATGGCGTCCCTTCCGAGAATATAGTCAATTATGACGAAACAAACTTCAGTGATGATCCTGGATCAAAGCGAGTTGTGGTGCAAAGAGGACAAAAACATGTTGACAGAATTATGGACCATTCTAAATCATCGTTCTCTGTTATGTTTGCTGGAGCCGCCAACGGAAAGATGTTACCTCCGTATGTCGTTTATGCTGCGCTACACTTATATCCAACATGGATGGAGGGAGGACCGAAAGGCTGTCGCTACAACAGAACTAAATCTGGTAGTTTTTAAAATGCATTATTTATACCAATAGTTGATTGAAACTATTGTTTGCAGGTTGGTTCGACTCCGTGGTATTCGAAGATTGGTTTTTCAAAACTGCCGTTCTTTATTTTAACGGCCTTGAAAATGACCAACGAAGAATAATCATTGGAGATAACGTCGCCTCTCATCTCAGCTAACGTATCGTACAATTCTGTATGACGAACAACATCAACTTTGTACTTCTACCACCCAACGCAACTCACTTATGCCAGCCGCTTGACGTAGCGTACTTCAGGCCATTGAAGAGGGCATGGTCGAATACATTAGGGGATTGGAAAAAGCGTAACAACGGATGTGTACCGAAGCATATATTTCCAGGGCTCTTGAAGAAGACTTTGCGCTCGATTGAAGCCAAAAAAAGTGCTCAAAATATGAGAGCTGGATTCAAGGCATCCGGCATATACCCACTTAACAAGAATGCAGTGCTAAAAAAGCTTCCTGATGATGTTGATAAGAAAGATACCACAGCGAACACATCATTTTCCGAGCAACTGATCATTATGCAGAAGGAAGAGCGATTTGGAAAAGTTGAGGAACGGACCATCCCGCGTAAGCGACGGTTGATTGATGTGCAACCTGGCTCAAGTATAACTGAGGAAGAAGCACAACAACTACTGGCGAAAAAAGTAAAGATAAAAGTAGATCGAGATGCTGCCAACAAAACCAATGGTGGTTCCACGCACTCTTTAAATTCTGCTGGCACGATGAAAGTAAAGCCTACGAAGCAGAAGATATCACCTGTAGCTAAGAAAAAGCGCCGTTCATTCGTGGATAGATCGAACAAGGAAGATAATGATGAAGAATCAGCCAACCTTATCCCTGAGGTAGTTGTGAAGCAATAAGTTGCTTGGACACCACCAAAATTCGCTAAGAACAAACGCAAAATGAATCGAGGCAAACTTTCTGGTTCAAAGAAACTACGAATTTAATCGGTTTGGGGTTTGTTATATTATGCTGTATTTGATTAAAAAACATTTAAGACAGATCTGATATGATTATAATCATGAATTTTTCAGTTCAGTTATTTTGTTTTTTTTTATGGCTTTATAATACTATTTGTAAAAAATAAATAGTAGTTTTCTAATGTGTTGTTCAAGCTTGATTCCAGATTAAAAGAACTGTACATTTCTGAATCGGCGCATTTATTTAGTACGTCATCTAAAATTTGGGAATTTTCTCCTCTTTGACACGCTTTTTCCAACACATAATGCATTGCTGGTTTCGAAACAGGGATCCTCCCGTCTTCCCTAGGAGCGTAACATACCTAATGAATGGCCCCTTGTATTTGATAACTGTGTAACCTTCGACGAATGTTTCAACCTTGTATACTATATTTTGGTGTCAGATTTGCCTTATGAAATACCATTGTATTTAAATATAAATTTCATGCAAGAATTTATGAATTATATAAATTAAAACCTAATAAATTTATTTCTATTTGATGAACTCCAATGCCGTAAAGTAGAAAACATTTTTTTGATAAAATAGACCGAGGAAGTTGTGAACCGTTGTCATGCTTAATTTTGGAAAAAAAAATCATTCCAAAAGACGAGCAGCACGATAAAAATACTGAATGTATCGTCAAATGAGACGACTCACAACCCTACGAGTCAGATAGGAGTTATGCAGATAGGGTTTTTGAAATTCTACCTTCTAGTGCAGGGAATCAGGTGGCTCCACTGCTCGAACATTGCTGCAGCGAAGATTACCACCTACTGCTCGACTCGCACGAAGTGAGAAAAACCCGAAGGCGCGTAAATCACGTGATACGATCGTCATCGATGGGCTGATGATCGTATGATGATAATTGGCTACCTAAATTCAAACCCGGCACTTCTATATAAGGGTCCCCGATCCTTAATAGAACTCTCTTGTATCCTGGGAAGCGAAGAAGATTGGTGCATTTTAGAAAGTTAGTTCAGCAAGTGAGATTCAAACCCGTTATTCTACCGGTGTTAGAGAAGTTAAAGGACAGTCAGTAATATTTAAGTACTCTTGCCGGTTGAGTCTCAATAAAAAAAACGTTAAAGGAGCTTAGCTCCAAGTGAAACCTAACTCGCGAAGAACAATACACGGTAGTGCTCCCTTTAGTGGCCACGTGGTGGTAAACTGGACCTCCTTATCACTGACGTTGAGGCCAGTTAATATTCCG